CTCCATCAAGTGATGCCGTTTTCATTGCAGATACGGAAGGGCTGTCAAACGCAAAGGTGCACACCGGGATGATTAGTTCATATACAAAAGCAAGATACTGTAGAACAAATATTTCTACCTCTTTCACCTCGTAGCTTTGTGTATGAAAGACTGCGCAGCGTGCAACAGGTGATTGAAAGGAGTAGGCAACCGAAATGACATATGGAAAACACGAAGGTATAAAAATATATCAATCAGTACTTGTGCTTATCGGCGCAAGTACGGTATTGTGACTCAACTGGATTTCTCGGTCCACAGTGCAGCCATGGCCTGGAACCTTTGGCTACGAAAGGTACCACAAAATGTCTCATGCAAGCGGGTGCCAACATAAATATCGGTACACACTAAGGCGACCCATACGACTATGCGTTTTATGCGGTTCTGTCCTGCGAACGCTTACTGTTGGAAAACTGGTCACTGCTTTGTTAATATTTGCTATGTGCAGAAATTGTTCGAATATTCTGATTTACCAAAAATTTCACGTCCTCGAACAGGAGATCTAAGCGGACTTTAAAGCTGAATTTAAATTTGCGAGTTTAAAGCTGGATACGGAATGCACTTCCTTATGAAATTTTAGATTTCTAGTCTCTCTGGTTCTTGAGCTGAAAACCGAATGTAGTTGGCATGCACACAGACACTGACAGGATCGTGAAAATGTGTATTTTGTGCGGCTGTATGCATTTTGTGCATAATAAACACGGAGAAGTAACTGAAGGAACATTGACTAACGTTTGCGAATCCACGAAAGTCCGCGGTAACGATAACAATTCCGGTTGTCGCACCTCTGAATCAGGCAACATGCCTGCGCTTGACGGTAATATTCTCGAAATTCCCAAGCCTGAACTTGATAATGCATCTACCGACATCCCCATTCCTTGCATACTTGATCGTGGTATTTTTAGCAGTACCGGTATTGTTCCTAACTTACGCTTTCCTGCCCTTGGCTGCGCATCTAACGGCAATGTTTCCATCCTTCGAGTTCTTAATCCTGACGACGCTTCTACGGATAATTCCCTCCTCCTTCGAGCCCTTCGGCCTGACGGCATACCGTCCGATGAATTCCAGGAGCCTAGCAAATCGGAAAGTTTTTTATCAATTTCCTCTTGTCCTCGAAATAACTCTTGAATTCTCGCCGGAATATTTGATTCTTGCATTTCCCAGCTTGATAGGTTAGCTGCCGGTATTGTCCCTGTCTCTCGTATTCCTGAGCCTGACGGTGCATGTATCGACGATTCCGGTGATATCTGCAAATCTTCTACCTCTCGCCGTAATGTTTCCAACGTATCTATAAACGGTGGTTCAATTGATCTTGCAGAGAATGGTGTTATTTCTGACCTTCGTACTTCTGAGCTTGACGGCACGCTTGCCGATAATACCGCCGATTCTTGAGTTCGTAAAAGCGAACGTACGTATGCGGGAAGCAACGTTCTCGATCCGGACCCCATAACTGAACCAAGTGGTGGTGAATCTTGTACTCGTGCTATCCTTTGCGAAGGGAGCGGATGAATGACTGCTTGTGTTTGCACTCTTTCCACTTGCTGAGCACCTGTTTCTAGTCCCTCTGGTGCTTTTGGTGCTACCTGATCCTTTCGCTTTGCCGATGGTCGTGGCATTTTCCGTCGACGTTCTGGGTTCATTTTGAATTAAACAGATTAGCGTTGTCAAATCCGCCTGAAATATTCGTTCATTCGTTCGTTCATGAACTCTCACTTAGTAGCTCAAATAAAGTCAGCCGATACACATTTCCAAATGTTCCAACGAGCAGGATTTCAACACTCTTTACGAATTTGAACAGCAAATCATCGTGCCTGGGGGTAATAGTTCTCGAACCATTTGTCACATAATCCTAGCCGATAAGATTTCGCATCAAGGCTGAGTAATGACTTACGGGAACAGGTGATAATGTTAAAAACATACCAAAATCACCGAAATCACTGAACGTGGCAAAATCACTCCCGTCGGGAAAAAACGTCTGGTTGGCAATCTTTTCAGGAGACGAGACAAAAATGTCACTATCGTTAGCAGGATGACCACCAAACGTGATGTATTGTTCGGTCTGGGTATACAGCCAAGGGATGAAACACAGACTGCATAGCGAAATGTCTTCTTATACATGACACCTTATTCCAATGTTCTTACTCCACTATTTTAATGATGGAACCTAATTAGCGGTACAGTGAAAAACAGAATTACAGTCGACCCATAAATTCCAAATATTGATAAATTATGTAGTAAAATTACAAAAATTGGATACTCCAGAAGCAAACAGAGCTGACCGGACAGGAACGACTGTGTGGCTAGACTGCAGATTGCCCTAATGCCTCTCGTTTACCTAGCAATACCGCGCGTGATCTTTCTTTGACATAATATTGTTAATTTAGTTTCTTGGCATTGCCAGTGATCTATGAATGGATATCATTAGCTGTGGAAACTCGGCAGAGGAAAAAA